ACTACCTTTTAATCCTTAAAAACCTCTAAAATCAAGCCTAAACTCTTTAAAAAACTCCCAAAACCCCTCAAGCAAAACGTCTTTTAAAGCCGCGAAAATTTGGAAAACCAAAAACCGAAATTATCCATTTTAGAGATTTTTATTTGTTCTAACGCAAGTGATCATATCACAAAACGAATTGCATTATAGAAAAAACGCTTCGAATGATGCATTCATTAAAAAGTCAACGATTCTGGAAATTAACGTATATTACACATGTCCTCCTCCTTGTTTATAGATAGACGGTGATGGATCGAGGTGGAAAATTGTGAATTGTTACTAATTAAAAGGTGTTAGAGATCAGATTGTTTTCATGATTTTTTGGGTTTAAAAATTTTGGTTTAAATGTAGGTCGATCTAAAAATAGATCAAAAAGATCTGAAACAAAAATCAAAAAGAGCAAATAGAAGCTTTAAATAAAACAAAAACAACTATATAAAATGAACCAAAAATGAGTAAAAATAGACCAAAACGCTTAAAAATAGACCTAAATCTTTAGAAAAAAGAGTAAAAAAATCTAAAAATAGACCTTAAACATCTATAGATGAGCCTAAAACACATAAAAATAGGCCTAAAAAACTTAAAAATAAGCCTAAAACATCTAAACATAAATTTATAACACTTAAAATAGACCTACAAGACCTGAAACGAGGCATAAAGCACCCCAAAATAGTCCAAAAACACTACAAGATAAACATAAAACACCTAAAAATAGATCAAAAACACCTAAAAGTAGGTCAAAAACACCTAAAAATAGGTTAAAAACACTATAATACACCTAAAACACATTCAAGTTAGCCTAAAACACTATAATAAACTAGGGTTTTCAAAAGCTTCTGCGCTCCTTAACCCAAAAATTGTTTTGAGAAAGAGCACTGAATTATTTGAACAGCCTAATAGTTAATAAAAACATCTAAAATGAACCAAAAAAGCCATAAAACACACCAAAAGCACCACAAAATTAACTAGAAGTACCCAAAAATTACCCCAAAAACCCACAAAACCACCTCAAAAGCCCATAATTGCATTCCAAAAGCCCTCAAATCTATCACAGAAACCCATAATTTCACCTCAAAAGCACTCAAATCCACCCCAAAAGCCCATAATTTCACCTCAAAAACCCATAAATTCACCCCAGTAACCACTTCAAATCAAACGCTTACAAAAATTCTGCTCGTTCTGCTGAATCGTCGAGCGTTCGCGGCTGTGATTGTTCTGATCCTCTTTGTCTTTCTTCAGAAACTTGAGCATGGCGTCGCTGAATCCGTGGCCACGCTGCGCTTCACGTCGACCACAGGCTGCTAGAAGGCGATGGTTTTGTCGCAACACACGTCCCCAAATGTTTTGTTGTGGCAACAAAACGAGGGATACGGGATTGGATGGTGGTGTTTAGAGACGTACTGTAGAGTATGAGAAGTTAGGGTTATGGTAAAGAATGGCACGGTAATTCGACACGCTTTGGGTTATGGTAAGGGTCATATGTGGCAATCGTAAGTTAGGTTTTGTGACAAACATAAGTTGAGTTTAAAAGAGTTTTTGGTAAAATACGCAGTGATTATATAGTACTGCAAAATATTTTCCATACGCTAAATTTGCCAAAAATTAATTTAAAATTTTAAAAAATGTCCAAGTTAGACCCTTCTAGACTAAAAAAAAAGTCTTGTCGTTTTTCACTGTGTAGATACATGGAAATTAACGACAAGGCTTTTTTAACGTTTAAAAGTAGTGATTATATTAAAAGTAATGGCACAATAAGGTAAAATAAAGTGTTCGTGAATGTTTTATGACAAAGATTAGTCCTTCCGTGGCCTTACCCTAGCCTTTCCCTAGCTCTACTCTAGCCATATCCTGGCCCTACACAAACCCTAAAAAGAGGTTTTCTTTATCCCTCTCCTAAGCTTACAAGGAAAGTACCCAACCTGCAACTCTCAGAATTAGCTTAAAATTTTTATACGGTTTCTTTGTAGTACCAGTAGCACATATAAAAAATCTTAGCTTGCGGTTTTAAGTTTTAAAATCAATATATTTAAATTTCCCGCCAACTTGGCAAAGTTGGCATTGTGTTGCAAGCACTTTTTTTGATGTTCCAGACAAGATAGACTTACAAATTTAAAATTGCAGGTTCATTTGAAGCTTTTCTATCATTACATTAAAGAAAAATAGTTAAAAGTCAAAAAATAAGAAAGTTATAATTTTGAAACACTATGTCAATTTGGCGGGAAATTCAAAACGTGAATTTTTGATCTCGATTTTCTCAAGTCTGGCCGCAAACCGCAACTTAGAATTTTGCATAAGATCTTACATTTACATGATCTTGCAATTAAAAAATTTTGAACGAAATCTGAGCGTTGCAGGTCTGGTACCTTCCTTGTTAGTTTAGTCCCGTCCTAGCTCTTTTCAAGCCCTATACTAGCCTTAAAACAATTTTTTTCTAGCCTTGTTTTAGCTCAGCCCTAGGCATAAAATGACTTTACCTTTGCCTTACACAAGGTCTACTTAAACCCCAAGTTTTACCCTAGCCTTATATTAGGTTTACCATTGCTTTATCTGAGCCTTAACTAAGCTATCTCCAAGCTTTTTTTTGGTCTTGCCCTAGCCCTATCCTAGTTCTATCTAAGCCTTACCCTATATTAACCTAAACTGCCTTTACCCTGCCTTACTCTCATTCTACCCTACCCTACTCTTCCGTAATCCAACCCGATCAACAAGTCCAGACAATTGTAACAAACACGTCCACTTCTCCCCCCCCTTCCTCTTAATCAACAAAAATCCGGCTTTTTTGAACTTTTTCCTCAAAAATACCGCAAAAGTTCGCGGAAACAGCCCGAGGCAAAAAACACACAAATCAGCACAGCTGTGTCGTCCTGATTGACATAAGCGACGTACACGAAAAATCCCGTATTATTATTTACGTTGGTTGTTTTTCGTGTACACGATTTTGTTTTTACAATCAATTCACAATGAGCGGCTAATGAGCCGAAATTGCTTTAGACCGGTCCCCTCTGTTCCCGGCCTGAAGCAACTGAGCAATAGGGCTATGTACTTGGGTTGGGGTGATTGATTTTGGTGGGAAAACAAAAGAAATTTAGAAAAAGACATGAAAAAGTACCCTATTCTACCAACAAACTGCAAAAAATTAAAAAACAATTATCCACCCCCAAAATAAAAATAAAATTTTTTTTTACCCCGCCCAACTTTTTAACGTAAAAAATGGTTTTGAAAACCCTACCATACCCTAAGGTACTATACTCTAATCTACCCTACCTATATATAGCAAAAACATCAGAAAAAAATTATCCACCTCCAAAAAATTTAAAAAAAATTTTACCTTGCCCAACTTTTTAACGTAAAAGTAGTTTTCAAATGCACATTACTGCTTTACCCTACATTACCCTACACAATATTTATCAATATACTACCCTAGCAGAAAGACACTTATAGATTCATCGTATAAAATGTCACTCGCAGGCTGCAATATCAAAAAAAGACTATTTTAAAGAAAAAATGTATAAACAATATTGAATATAGTATCAACAACAGCCTTTGACAACATTTGATCAAAAAAAATTTAAATCCACCCCCAACTCAAAAAAATATTTTACCACGCCCAAAAATTTTTTTCAGAAAATTAAGCCTGAAACTATATTTTACCTATATTTATCAATTTCGCTCTTTTTTACATTATTTTAACTATTTTTTAATATCTAAATTTCAAAAAAATCAGAAAGATCGCGTTTGATCAGACTGCGTTTGAACCTCGTTTCAAATTGATAAGTCATGTCATAAACAGCAGAAACGTGATATCTATTGATATTATGAATAAACAAAAGGCAAAAATTAATGAATTATTTGTTTTTCTGTTGGACTTTTATCAAAAAATGGCATTATGTGATCAAAAACATTATCAAAAATGGCATAAGCTGATCAGAAAAGAGGCAAATAACGTAAGGCATGGATAGGCATAGTAAGTAGAATAATCGTACATGAAGAATATTGTTTTACAAGCTAGTATTAACACAGGCTTGATCTAAATTTATGAGTAGGACAAGCTAGAACTGATTTTAGGGTTAGAGCTATAGCTAGAACTAGAGCTAGAGCTAGAGAGCTATGGCTGAGGCTAGGGCTCAAGCTCAGACTGAAGCTAAAAGAAAACGTAAAAGGAAGAGAGAGCCAGGCAGTCAAAAGAATTTTTCAATTAGCTTTATCCTAGCCTTTAAATTTGGTTTTAGCCTGTTCTGTCGCTGGAATTAGCTCTAACTTGCACTAGAAGTCATCAACCCCCCCCCCCCCCTCCTTCCTATAAAATTATAATCAAATCAACTTTTCTAAACAAAAAATGATAAAAAACCTAAAATACGAACTGCAAAACTTAGCAAAAACAATTTTTTTTTACTTAAAAATTTTAAAATTTTAAAAAAGTTTGAAAAACACCCCCACGAACCATAAAAATACCCCAAAATTCCACGCTAAAACCATCAAATTACCCCCTCAAAACCTATCAAAACCCCCCAAATTCCCCAAAGCCATCAAATTACCCTCTCCATCGCCATCTTTTCAAAATCATAGCCCAAAATATTTTTATTTGATTGCTAAACGTGTAAACATTCATTGCTTAACAGTTTAACAGTGGTATCAAAAAAGGACGGAGGCGTTTCGCGTCTGTCGTCTCTTCGTTTCTATAGTCTTTCGCCGGTTTTTGGGGGGTTTTGTGACTGTTTCTGACGGTATATAGGGTTGGTGTAGTCTTTTTTTGGTGGCTTTGGGGTCTCTTGGGTTTAGACAATATGTAGAAGAGTGGTGGGAAGACTATGTATGGTCTCTTGAGTTTACATTGACTCTAGTTTGGTCTTTGAAGCACTCTTAAACTGACGTTATAACTTTTTGGCTTTTATTAGTTATTCTATTAGCTTTACGTGTGCTTTCACAAAGCATAAGTGGCCATAAAATACGCTAGCTTTAGCCTAACCTGGAGTCACAGCACGAGCCCGAGCCGGAGCTGGAGCCTGAAGGTGAACCTGAGCCTGAGCCTTAGCTTGAGCCTGAGTCTGAGCTTGAGCCTGAGCCTGAGCCTGAGCCTGAGCCTGAGCCTGAGCCTGAGCCTGAGCCTGTGCCTGAATCCGAGCTTGAGCTTGAGCGTGAAGCTGGGCCTGAGCCTGAGCCTGAGCCTGAGCTTGAGACTGAGCCTGTGCCTGAACCCGAGCTTGAGCCTGAGCGTGAACCTGAGCCTAGTTTTAGTCATAGCCTAGCTCTAACTTACCCTATTCTTAACCTAAGCTGTAGTCTGTCTTAACCGTACTCAAGTTTGACTGCGCTTGTTATACTTGCCGTACAGATCTACCTGCGTTATTAGTAAGCCTAACCTTTCTGGAGCCTACCTTTTTTTACCCTTCCCTTACCAATTTTTAAAGTAAGACCATTTTAAAATTAGTTGAGTAAGCTTACAAACAAGCTAAAACAAGCGAGGAAAATGCCAAAGCTTGTACAGCTTGTAATGACAGGTTGCTAATGACATGGTAATTATTTATACATGTACACGAGGGTGTTCATACTGGTTTATGATGCTTTTTAGATAAACAAACCAAACGTATATTATAAGAGACAATTTTTTACTCAGTAAGTAGGTTTTTACTGTGTAAATTGAAAAAACTTAACCATACAGTACATATTTTCAGCCTAAATGCAAAAAATTTTAAATTTCAAAAAAATGACTACGTAGTTTTTTCATTCTACAGTGATTTTACTACTTATTTCAGCTTAGAACTACTAATAATGCCTAGAGAAACCAAGAATATGCCCCGTAAAACCTCTTTGCCTAACATATACATGTACATCATCCTCATACTAAAACATTTTAATAAAACAAAAAAAAATTTTTTTTCACACACCCATAACATGACAATAAAGCACTCGTCTCAGCGTAACAACTATAGTTTACACGTTGATACAACTTACTTTCCCCATGTCTTCGCATTCGATTAGGACTTTTACTCCTCGGTCGACCATCTAAAACATGAAATTTTGGAATGATGACAAATTGAAATTTCATGAAACTTAACCTATTGTATCTAAAAAATCCATGGCTATCTTAAAAGTACTATTTTTACCAGTTTTAAGAATTAGGTTACTGTAAAAAATGACTTTTTTAAACATATAAGCCAAAACCCAAAAAAATTCCAAAAAATTTTTTTTTGACATAAATTTTGTCGTATATTATGACAAAATGTAAAAAAGGTGTTTTAACTATAAGATTACCTACTGTTTTACCTACAATAAACCACAATAACCAGAGATTTTTGTTTACTCAAAAAAGTTATGGCATAAAAACCAACCATAACCTCTACAACTTCCCCTATCTCAATATAAGCTTTACTACACCAGCTAACTTATCTTATTCAGTGACAAACCTTTAACATAGCGGAAAAATTGGCACATTGGCAAAATGATATTACATTGCTTTTCAAAGCATAGTGGGTAGAATTGTCATCAGCATCGAATGCAACCGCACATAGGAAAAGTAAGCATAGAGGTACAGGAAAAAATCAATCAAACTTTAAAATTTTTTAAATTAAAAAATTTTTATCTAATATATTTTAGGTTTAAAAAGCTTTAAGCAGTCTTAAAATGTCATATTATAATAAATTTTACATTTTTAAAAAATCGATAATTTTTGTGACATTTCGTCAATTCATAATTAATTCTGTTGAAATTAGTTCAATTATTAAAAATTTAAAAAAGTAAAGTAAAATATACTTAAAAAATGCAATTTTTATAAAAATGACACCACACAAACATTAAAATTTTTTCCAATAAATTTTGTGACATTTCGTCAATTTCCAATTTATATTGTTACATTCGGTCCAATTATTAAAGATCGTTGAAAATAGTAAAATCAGTCAAAAAATGCGATTTCCACCAACATAAAACCACTAAAACTTAAAAAATTTCCCAATACTTTTTGTGACATTTCGTCACATTTTCCAAAAATATGCCAAAATTATATCAAACAACGTTGTTTTGTAACCCACTACAATAAGTCCAAATGAAAATCAAAAAATACGTCCAAAAAAGTTTAAAAAAACCACTAACCTAAAATCACAAAACCCCAAATGTTACCTAAAATCAAAAAATTCCCAAAATTCTCCAAAATTTAGAAAATTCAAACCAAATCGAAATTTCTCATCGCCAAACTTGCTAATCCCTCCGATATGTTTGGAACGATAACACAACTCAACAATTGCATATCGATAATATAAATCAAAGCGGGGCCTCGAATTATCATTTTGATTTTATGCCTTTCGTTCTCGCCGCTTCGGGCGCTATTTCTGTCGCCGAATTTTAATGGCTTTTGGGCTTTCAAAGTTTGTCAACGTCAAAAAAATGCTTTGGTTTACAATGTTAAGGGGTTTTACAGAGCTTCAGAATTCAAAAAGAATCAAAAACTTAAATTTTTAGGAAAAAATAATTTGATAAGCTCAATACAGGGTGCGCTAAAAGTTCTGTTACAGAGAAAACGACCGCTGAAGTTTTGTAACAGAACATTTATACTCAAGCTTGAAATTCAATTTTTTAAGCCTATATTTCATTTTCCTTTAAAAACGCATTTTAAGCCTAAATATTAGTTTTTAAGCCTAAAATTCGTTTTAAAGCATAGGTATTACTTTTTAAGCTTAATATTTAATTTTAAGCCTAAGTTCAATTTTTACCTTTAAAAATAAATTTAAAGTTTCAAACTGTATTTTTAAGTCATTTTTCTTCAAAAACGCATTTTTAAACCTAAATATTAGTATTTAAGCCTAAAATCCGTCTTAAAACTTAGGATTCTCTTTCAAAGCTTATACAAGGTGCGCCAAAAGCTCTGTTACAAAAAAAACGTGTAACAGAACTTATGGTGCACCTTGTAATTCTTTCGTAATCTTAAGGATATACATTTAAAAAACCTAGTTTTTTTAAGCCTAGAATTCGTATTTAAATTTAAAATCTATTTTTAAAAGTAGATACATATATAAAAAACTTTTCTATAACAAAAATTTTGTATAACGAAAGACTTTGTTAACCAAAAAACGTTCAAATCCTCTTCTAACACCACACAGTAAGTTTAAAACTCCAGTATAACGACATTCCTGTATAACGACACTTCTTTAAGACAAACAATTTTAAAATCATTGGGCAATTCGTTATACAGAAGTTCCACTATACACCCATTCCGAAGATTCCCCCCCCCCCCCCCCAAAAAAAACTTTCGCAAAAAAGTTGAACGTGGTCCCCTCTGGGAGGATTTTTTGGAAAAAAATTTTTTTAAGTCAGCACAGTTGTTATCTGTGCCGATTATTTCGAACCCGGACCAAAATACCCCCCCCGGCCCTGATACACCCATTCCGAAAATTTACCCCACCCCCCCCTATCAATGCCAATTAAAGCCTCAAAAGATTGCCGAAAATGGGGAAGGAAAGCCGATAAAATAAGCGGCCTTTTCTTTTTTGACCCACCAAATTCGCGGCCAAAAAAGCAAATGAGACCAACTTTTGGGGGGCTTTTTCACATTTTCGCATGCCCTCAGGGAGATTGCGAGCCGGATTGCGTTTAATCGAGTTCCGAAACATGCGGATTTTTGCATACCACCACAACATGACTAAATGAAAATTTGCATTTCCGAGAAAAATGTTACCTATAAAGGTTTATATAGTGAAACTCCGGTATAACAAACTTCTCTATAACAAACCTTTTTTTTATAAAATTTTAAAGCAAATAATGAATTTTTAGGCTTAAATATGAGCTTTTAGGCTTAAAATGAACTTTTAGGCATAAAAAAAGTTTTTAATCTTAAAAATGAGCGTTTAGGCTTAAATACGAACTTTTAGGCATAAAATGAGTTTTTAGGCATAAAATACTTAAAAATGAGCAAAACCCTCCGTACGACTAGACAAATTAAAGTTCAAAAGTATGGTATTTCAGGCTCAAAATACTTCCTTCAAAGTTTCATTGAAGCGTGAAAGTAAACTAAATATAGACGTGTTACATTTAATGCCTTGAAACCGACATTAAACTTGGATGGCCGCGGATATAAAGCATGACTTTACTTAGGGTCAAAGGGATTAAAGTTTAAACAAAAGTTAAAAATTGTAAGCCTAATATTTATTTTATAATCTTAAAATTTGTGATTTAAGCACAAACTTTAATTTTTAAGCCTAAAAGTTCATTTTTAAGCTTAAATTTCGTTTTCAAGCCTAAAATTTCATTTTTAAGCCTAAAATTTTATTTTTAGCATAAAAGATACTTTTAAACCGTAAAATTAACTTTAAAGCCTAAACTTTATTTTTAAGCCTAAAATTTCATGTTTAAGCTTAAAGTTCACTTTTAAACCTCCTAAAACGACTTTTTTACCCAAAACCCGAACCCAGTTGAACCAAAACCTAAAGTTTACCCAGACTTCAAACACTTTGTTCCCGTCTATTTCCTGCCCCCTCATCCCTACCGTTCCCCTTTTACACCCCCTTCCCCCTCTTCCTCATCTCCCCCCCCTCTCTCCCTCCCCCCCCTCCCTACCTCATCCCCCCTAGCCTCTGTAAGGGCATGGCGTCGGGAATTTATGAAAATTTCTTGTTTTCCCCACGACTTCCGACATTTTTTCGCCGCCGAAATGACAGATTGGGTCAGTGGGCTTTGAAAAGAAACTGTCGGAAGGAAAAAACAAAAGAAATATCAATGTGTATGTTTATGTTATGCATGCCATGCTTAACATCAAAAAATATACATTCGAAGCGCTGTTTTGAGTAATAGTTTTTCGTTGTCATTACGGTTGTGACAACAAGTGGGAATGGCGCATAGTAATATTTAGATGACATGGAGTAGACAGGGTGGGGTAATGTAGTGATGGAGTAGACACGGCAAGGTAATGTAGTAGCTATAGTAGCGTATTTTATAAATCAAATAATAGATGACATGGGGTAGACAGGGTGGGGTGATGTAGTGATAGAGTATACAGGGTGGAGTGATGTAGCAGCATGACATGAATTAGAAAAGGTAGGGTAATATAGTATTTTATAAAGAAAAATAAAGCTTACAGAGACCTATAGGCGAGTAAAATGAAAAATCAATACTATGTAAACGAAATGTAATTTTTTTACAGTATAATAAGTTAGTGCGTGAGTAAAGTAAAAAAATCAATACTATGTAGACGGAATGTAAATTTTTTTACAGTAAAGTAAGGGTAAAGTAAAAAAATCAATACTATGTAGACGAAATGTAAATTTTTTGAACGTAGAGTAAAGCAACGCTAGAGAAAATTTGAAAAATCAATACTACGTTGACGAAATGTAAATTTTTCTTTTTAGCATAAGGCAGCGCAAGACACAGCAGGGCAGGCTACAAAAAAAAGAAAGTTTAACCGTCAAAAAAGTAAAATTTCAAAATTTTTGTGAATTTTGAAATTTGGAGTCTGGCCAAGAAATTACTTTTCATTCAAAAGCACACAGCGGAATGGGTAAATAACAAAAATGAATTTTCGAAAAAAACTTTATTTAGGCTTTAATTTCAGACAAAAACGCTCCGTTATAGTGTTATTATGACCTATACTCGCCTAGCATATAATGAATTTTGGGGTTAAAAGAGTTTAGGCTTAAAAATCAAATTTAAGTTTAGAAATGAGGTTTTAAGTTCAAAAATGAAATTTTAGGCTTGAAAGTGAATTTTAGGTTTAAAAATGCATTTTAGGCTTAAAAATTAGAATATAGGCTTAAAAATGAATTTTATGCTTAAAAATGACATCTTAGGCTTAAAAATCAAATTTTAGGCTTAAAAATAGAAATTTAGGCCTATTAACGAATTTTAGGCTTAAAAGTGACATTTTCGGTTTAAAATTATCTTTAAGGCTTAAAAAAGCATTTTAGGCTTACAAATAAAAATTTAGGCTTCAATACTAATTTTTGCTTTAAAACGTCTTTACCCTACCCTGCCCCATCTTATTCCACCCTATCGTACCCTACCCAACCAACCTTGCCCTGTCC